TTTAAAACTATACCTTTATCGTTCTTTATAGTTATCGTGCTTGGTGTGAACGGGCCTTAAGTGTGCAGTGATCCAATCACTACCTACAAATAAAGCATTGCTGGATTCATTTCTTTAATATCTAATATAAAGCAGTAAAATTGAAATACAAAGGAGACACAGAATGAATGTTTTACACTTTCAAAAATAGAGTTATTCCCATTTTCCAGCCTTTCTGAAAACAATTTGTCGCCTCTAAACATGTTTTGACTTCTGCATATCTAAATCTTACAACAACAAAAAAAGAAACACAATATACAGACGTACTGTACCTACACATCAGCAATGAAGAATAGTAAAGTTCAACAGACCTCTTTTTTCAACGTTTCCAAAAATACAAACAGCTCTAAAAATCAGAAAGAAAGTGAAATGGCCCTCGGTGGCAAGCGGTTGATCATGGATTGTGTGAACGCCTGTCATCTCTGTCGGTACACAGCACATCTGTTCAATGCCTTGCAGCCCAATTGCATCAAAGACGACGCGGGGTTTGACCGCCGCCTGGTCAGTGTTGATTCCAGCAGAATGATGAAATATTCTAGCAATGTTTTTGTCAGAATAACAAAGACAAGCTTCATCCACAGGGGATTAACCTATCAAAGTACAGGAAGTTAATATTCATGGATGCTCTGTGTTCTCTGAAAGAATGATACAACAGCTGCATTTCACAAGCTGAAATATGAGAGAATGTGAATTATAATTCAATGGTAAAGTGAATATTACAGCAGGGCATGAATAAATTCTACTGTTCTAGCGTACACAAACATTCAAGCATTAAAAAAAAAAAAAAAAAAAAAAAAAAAGCGCCTGTCGTTGGACTAAGTATATTTATAATGTCAAATAAAGCTGATTTTTTTTTTCTTTAGTTCAAGTGCATTCAAATATAAGAACGACAAATGTGTTTGTTTTTGAATTTGGCCAAACATTGATTGAATGCAGTACTAGCATCCATTTTTTGGACAGTCTAAAACGGTCACAAATAACACTTTAACTGAGGGGAAGAGATGATGACTAGAAATGTTCTCCTTATACAATTGCTCCTACTGCTGGACAAACCTGGAAGCTGCATGTGCCAAGCACTGCCATGATCATATTTAATAAAACTGCACTGACTGAAGCAACATCATATTTGCAATACTATCTGCCTGAAATTGCAGATACAAGCACTATAAGCCAAATCGGGCTGGTGTTCGTTTTGGTGTCATGGGCGCTTCCTCTCTCCTTCCTGGGGTGAAGATCTTTATTGACCTGTTTGGAAATGATGAAAAGACATGTTTATGTCAGGATGTTAATTTAAATAGAAAGCTTGTTTGTGTGTGTGTGTGTGACTCTAATGTGCCACGGATCAGAAGTTGTGAGATTTGCTCTAAGGTTAAATGAGAAGAACAGACAGAGCGGTGACAGGAACTTCGAGCAGAGAGAAAAGGACAGTTTGTCTTTGTGGGGACCTGCGGGATGCGAGTCTGATGCAGCTGACAGGGCGATCTATCATCTGTAATTACAGCGGTGCACAGCGCTCCCCTCCTCACACCGCCAGCAATTACATCCATCAGGCCATGACCCTCCTGCTCCTCCAGCACAGACTCAGCTCACACCTCCGTCACTTCACTTTCTGCTGCCTGCCATCCGAACATTTGAACTTTTAGCTAGTTTCATACTTTTTTTTTTTTTTCCTAACGAACATTCCAATTACATTTTATGAAGAAAATGTGAGTTGCAGAACTCTCTGGCATGGTGATATGGTGTTTTAAGTCTTTGCAGAGGATCACTTCTCCATTTTCACATTATTTTGTGTGTTTTTCAGCATGTTGCTTTGCAGTATTAAAGGAATAGTTCACCCAAAATTTTCTGAACATTTATACATGCGTAGGCCATTAAATGTAGATGAGTTTGTTTCTTCATCTTCACAGATTTAGAGAAATTTAGCATTACGTCACTTGCTCACGAATGGATCCTCTGCAGTGAATGGGTGCCGTCAGAATGAAAGTCCAAACAGCTGATAAAAACATCACAATAATCCACAAGTAAACCACATGACTCCAGTCCAATGTCTTGTGAAGCAAAAAACTATATATACACTATATATACTATATATATATATACATGGTTATATTCACATTGATTATGCTTGATTAATTCATATTTTGATTAATAAAAATCTACACGGGAAGCAATGGTTTGAAGTCTTAATGGACTTGTTTATTACACACACGGCACCCATTCACTGGTGAGCAAGTGATGTAATGCTACATTTCTTGTAAAGCTCATCGACATATAGGATGGCCTGGGGGTGAGTACATTTCTATCAAATGTTCATTTTTGGGTGAACTATCCATTTAAACTTTGACAAATCTCGTGTCCTTCATTGTTTGTCTGTACATGAATGATTCCTCAAATTGTGTGGCTTGAGGCATGTATGTATTACATTACTTAAAGACCAGAACTTAAATTTCTGACTGGTAGACAAATAAAACAGGCCAGAAAAAAAGAAGAAGAAAAGAAAGATACATTGAAAGAGAGAATAGATATAATAGAGGGCCAGTAAGCATTCAAACAGAATGCGTCTTTGCGTGTAAAAATGCTAAACTCAGGAATAAATTTTAAAAAAGCAAGGTCTGAACTCCTTAGCAACCGCACATCAACACCCTGGCAACCAAGCACGACTTCATAGCGCTTTATGGCAGTGATTTTCAAAGCATTTTCTTCAGAAGAAATGTCAAATGTCCTGTAAGTGACCTGTGGGTCCTGCAGGATTCAGGTCAGATGAAAAGAGCTGTGATCTTATCTTAGATCAGCCAGCGTCTTCCTATCAGCTTATTTAAAACCCCATGAAGGCATCAGAGCCCAAGAGGGAGGCCCGCACCTTAATTATCCATCTCCCCATCATGCACATCAAAAGTCTAATCTCCACTTTTAATGTGATTATTGTCAGGACGTCCATCATGCAGACAGTCAGCCGAAGGCTTTGATTCAGAGATAAAAGTCCTGATTAATTAATGAAGTGTTATGTTAAAGGACACATTTATCGCTTTTGTGGAGCAGACAGGTGTGTGTAAAATTAATTTCCCGGATTAGTCTAAAAAAATTAGCATCTGTCCCTCTTCTCCCTGTCTGTGGCGGCACAATTTATATTGCCACAGTAATGGGGGTCAGCCAGGAGTCAATATTATTTCTTTTTCTCTCCTGTGGAGACGGGAGGTGAGAAAAGCTCATCACGTGGAAGACAAGGAGACGTTAGGAAAGAGATGAGGAAGATGAAGGCAGGGGAGGGTGTGAAGGGGATAATAGCCTTCATAAAAATTGCAACATTAGTATTTCAGCACGGCAGCCATTTGATGGCTTCCTCCTAAATAGGATGATTCAGATTTCGTGAGAGTGCGAGCAGTCGCTCTAAACCCTGAGTGACAGCAGTATTTGTGAGGAAGATGGCTGAAGTACCTGACGCTGCCCAGATTGCTCTTCCTCTCCTGCTCCTCTTTCCGTGCACGGATCTGTTCTTGTGCAAGAGACATCTCCTCCTCCATGTTGGTGATCTCCTCCTTGGCTCTCTTTCGGTTCTCCTGAAAGAGGGACCAAAAGTGTGTGAGACGAGATAGAGACAAATATGTACCATAAGTGTTGGGTGTGATATTCAGGAAGGACGCTGCTCACCTGTCTGCTCTTTCCTGCATGTTTGATACTGTAGAACATGGGCCCCAGCTCAGCCAGCCACTCGCCGTCCACTGCCGTCACACACTGCATGTACTCCTGAAACACAAACACACATACGTGTCAACAAATCACTCTTCACTGGCATTTGGGGATGGGATATTCACACTATATTGAATATTATAAAACGGATAGTTCCGGTCCTTGATTCTGACTGGTTGAGCCGCATTCGAAGCTGTTGTAAATTACTCTACAAACATACACCTTTGTTTACTTCTGTGTGTTGCTCTGCAAACACTTTGTTGGAACCACAACTGTTTCTAAGGAACTACATTGTTTGGTGGAAGAATACTGTTTTTATTAATATCATTACACTTTATTTGCTCTGTTTTATTCTGTGAAACCTTACTACGTATATGGAATAACCGTTTTATAAAAGCAATAAGCCCCGTGAAGCCGTGGTTTACAGTGAATTTATAACAGCTAAGGGGGCACTCCACTTCGTGTCATGCCTAACAACGCCCCTTAGCTGTTATAAATTCACTGTAAACTACGGCTTCTTGGGGCTTATTGCTTTAATATGTTGTTAGCAGTATAAAATTTGTCAACATCATTAATATCATGAAGATTTTAATGTGCTTTTTATTCAGAAGCAAAAAAAGATGATAGTGCTGATTCGAAATTGATTCAACGCTTATATTCAATTGTTTGTATCAATAAAAAAAAAACTTTCAGCATGAATGTAACATGTATATTACCATTAATTCATATATTTGTGTATATTTATGAAAAAATGTTCCTTGTATGAATAACAGTGTAAAACATGCCTAGTTCATTTTAAATCTAGTTTTCACTCTATTTTTCAAAAAGTTTCAAACCATTTTAGCCATTTTTATTCATAAATGTGGACATATATGCCCACAAACATACATAAATACACATACATAAACAGTAAAAAGAGTAATTTTGTGAAATATTAATATAATTTAAAAGAAATACTTTCATATATTTTAAATCTTAATTTTTTCCTGTGATGCAAAGCTGAATTTTCAGCATCATTACTCCAGTCTTCAGTGAAGAAACGTTTCATATTATTATCAAAGTTGAGAACATGTTTTTGATGCTTAATATTCTTGTAGACATGTTTCCATTACCCTTCAAATTGCGCAAATTGAAATTGCGAATTGAAAATACGCCTAATGGAAACGCGTCAATTTCGCAAAAACGCCCATATATCGCAAAAATGTTTTTACGCTCGCATGAGGTGGTTTTTCAGGCAATGCGAAAAAGGAATAATTCGCAAAACTGCAATGGAAACGGCTTTTTCGCAGGAAATAATTGGGGAAAAAACTGGAGGAACAGGATAAGGAAATGTTGTAAACTGGATTCAAGCTTGGATCCCCCATTTAAGCACCAGAGCTCAGTGTCAGATGTGTCAGAGCATGCGCGCTAACTCGCCGTTATAGCAAACCGTGATTCATTCTAACGTGTGTTACTTCACACTCAAAGGCTGAGGAGGAAGAAGTACCTTTGTGGTCATGACCAGCTCGTGGTAGATGATATAGTCGGGGGTGTAGCCCATCCCGAACAAAGCGCTGGTGGGGTGCAGATGGCAGGGCATCCCAGTTCTCACGTTCACATACTCCCCTATTCCCTAAACAAACAAATACAGGTCATGAAGATGCTTCACATGCTGCTTGCTGAAACGGAATCCATCATTACATTGCCAAATATGGTAAGTAGTTGTGTACCTTTAATTTAGCAGCCTGGTGAAAGTACGCAGCACAGATGCATTTCCTGATCACATCCCAGTCTGAGCCGCAGGAGACCAGGTTCATTTTCTGCTGCACCATGATGTCTTTGAGCTGAGATCGCACCTCACGCACCTGTGACACACCACACACTGTTATTCAGGATAAACTAAATCAAACAAAAGAGGAAGAAGCACTTTTTGCACTACAATTACACACCTCAGCTTTCAGAGAATATGTGTAGTTAAACTACACATATACAGGGTTTCTGCAGGTTTTATGAAGTTACATTTAAGACATTTTTAAGACCAAGTAAAGAAAATTTAAGAAACACAATGGGCCTCATTTATCAATCTAACGTAGAAACGAGCGCAGATCCGTGCGCACAAATCAACTTACGACAGAGTTCACGTGTGATTCATGAAACATTCGTATGCCGCCAATCTCATCGTACGAATGATCACACGTTGATAAATGTGGCGGCAGAAAACAATCGTCATTTGAATATCACGCCCCTAAAAACACCCTGGTTTAGAAGCCTCGGCCCTAGAGTTTACGACACGGAGAAACGAAACCCGGCCAAAAAGAGGAAGTAATCTCGTCAAAGAGAAATTGATCTTACTCCAAAAACATCCGTTAACCTTGTAATTGCAAACTATTAGGCTACATTAATTTATGTAATTTATATGTATATTAAAATACTCGTAAATATAAACAGCCTATTTAGTTCCCCTCACTCTACAACAAATATTTTAAATTTAACGGTATTCAGAATAGAAAAAAAAAGAAAAATAAGTAGTTATAAAATTATATATTCAACTATAAAATAAATCTAATTAGGCTATAGTGGCATTCACTCATAACACAAGAATCCAAATGTTTCCATTTTTGCCATATTTGTAACATTTGTTTGCATAACTATTATTCTAATGTAGCCTAAACATGGCTTTATACTTCACTCATGTTCTCACATCCTTGTAAAATCCTTCACATGCGCAAAAATGTTTGTTTGGGCACTGCACGCTGATTTTACAACGGACCTTTTAAAATAAACTGTGTAACTTTTGTGTTTGGTTGACTGCATTTTAGTTTGATGATGAATGGCTGAAATGTCAGGCAACGGTAGAACTAATGTTGTTTGTGTGTGCGTGAGGCGCCTGTGCGATCAGATGGATTTAATCAAATAAAGACATAATTCAATTCACGATACAAATCTTTGCAAAGCAACTTTACAGAAAATTACGTTTCTACAATATTTAGTAGCTTATCAGTGGTGACTGTCAGTTAATGTAGCCTACATATGGCAGAAATGTACGGAAAAATCAATTAAAGACGTAATCAAACAGACGATGAAAAGACATAAAGAAAATAAATAAAATGCATTAAGAGTGTCACAAAAACGAG